CCTGTCTTAGAATTCCTTGTATTTTAATAGTTTATTTTCCCTAGATTTTAGGACAATGAGTCTCCAACTCATTTCTGTATCCTGGGAGCCTAGCTAAATGACTGACACAAAGCTCTTAAGTAATACCTCAACAGTGAAGAGTGAATGGAGAGGGAATAGTAACAAAGGTAGAATTGGAAACGATTAGCCGCAGAGTTCTAGAGCAGAGAAAGCTTCTTGCAAACGTTTGCAAAAGCTTTGGGAACTTTGTCTTGTTTAGTATTTTGGTTATTTTATTGTATTTTTTACCTTTTCAGAAATGGAAAACCCCTAAAAATTGGAACTGAGGAAGGAAACCTATTTGGTCACAATGGAAAGGAAATCTGTTTACAAGGAAGGCTGCTTGTTTGTTTGGTGTTTATATAGTTTCCATCTCAGTCAGGGCTTCAAGATCTTTTTCTTCTTAGGTAGCCTTGAATGATTCTCTTAATAGGGCTATGCCCAGGTTTTGAAATAGGTTGTGTTTCAAGGTTTAACAAAATAAAGCTTTGTACTTGGATTCTTTTGTTTGAGAGGCATTCTAAAATGTGACTGCTACCAATTGCATGTAACAGTTGCATTGGCAATAGCAGCCCCTGGTGGCATAGGCATGAATTTCTTTTATTGGTCTCCCTAGTGATTTGGAACTTGCTTACTCAGACAGGCAGTGATCTGTCTACGAATTATATACATTTGAAAGTGAATTGAATAATGTTAATGATGCATTTGTCCTTGCTTCTGAAAGAATAATCTATTTCTTTTGAGGATTAACCAGAAATAACTGGGGAGTACTGAAAGAGTATTCTTAGTGAGGGTGCATGAAAAAAACTATGAGTTACTAGGAAGACTTGTTAAGTACCTTACAGTGAGTTCTTAATCATAGCCACCCTGTATAAGGTTTCTGAGGAGCAGTTAGTGGGTTAAACCACCGACCTTTCCATCAGCAGTCCAGTGCTTATCCTATTTTCAAAACCTCATTTTTTTTTTTTAGTTGTCATTATTATTCCCTTCTATTAGCAGTATCTTTGTAAATCCAACAATGAATCATAAAACTGAACATTTGCAAGAAAGATTTCAGAGGGGTAAATTCACCCATGGATATTGTAAACTACTTTTAATGTGTATTTGCATTTTTTTGGAAAGTGAGGTTTTTATCAGATTCTCACAGTATCTAATAACATATAAATACACAAAAGAATGACTTATGTAAGGTTCACAGTTTTTGTCAGTAATATAACACCTGCTCTTTTAATATTCTTTTCACTAAAAGTGTTAATTGTAGAGCATATGTATTACTTATTTCATATTTTTATTAATAGCTTTTTATTACAGCAGTAATCTCAAGGTCAGCAGTTTGAAACTACCAGCTGTTCCATGGAGAAAGATGAGGCTTTCTGCTCCCGTTAAGATTTGCAGCCTCAGAAATCCTGTATAGGATCACTATGAGTCACAACTGACTTCACAGTACTTAACAACAACAATAATATTAGTAAAATTAGACATTTTAGAAAAATCAGGAAAACAGAAAGAAGAAAATAAAAGATCATGCTCAATTACTCAGATAGATCATCCTTGGTTTACAACGGGGGGTGGGGGTGGGATGGGTTTGTTTTGATGTCTCTGACAAATTGGTAAGTAAGAAACCTCATTGTTATTTATTTATTATTATTGCCTTTATCATCAGTATTTATAAATCCAGCAGTATTTTGAATAGTAAATCATAAAACTGAACATTTGCAAGTGAATCTCTGAGGGTAATTACATTAGCAAAGTACACACAGCAACATATTACAAATGATAAGATGTACGAAAAAACAAAACCCCCAAACCCAGATGGTTCTAAGCGTGGTTGTCATAGCTGGAATGTATCACATGTCAGGGAATACCTGTAAACTTAACTATTTTGATGGATCATCTTCAAGATTTTTTCTATGCAGGCAGACAGATTTGACTATATCAACTTGGAGCTCTGCTAGCGTAGTGGTTACAAGTCAGGCTGCTAACCTCAAGGTCAGCAGTTTGAAACTACCAGCCATTCCGTGGGAGACAGATGAGGCTTTCTGCTCCCATAAAGATTTACAGCCTCAGATTGCTATGAGTCAGAATCGACTCCATGGCACATCACCACCACCACGTCAACTTGAGGCAATTATTGTAATATATACAATTATGATAGACTGTCTCTGTGAGCTGACTATTGACTCAACAGCACTTAACAATATATAAATAACTTTTAGAAATCAATGAAAAGTGACAGAAACCCTTATTGGAAAATAGGCAAGAAAATGGAGAGAATATAAACAAGCAATAAATATATAAAGAAGTACTTGCTCTCAAAACTAAAGAAATGTAAATTAAAACCAGAAGTGTTTTATACCTATTGAATGTTATTGTTATAAAAAAGATTAAAAAGGAGAATACCAGTCAGTGTTAACAAAAGTTTGGAGAAATAAATGGGTACTCTTCTCATTTTGGTGGTGATGCAAACTGGTACAGCCTTTCTGGTAGGTAATTTGGCAGTCAGGTGCTTAATAGTACTGTTTCTTTCCACTTGGCACCCTTTTTAATTTCTCCTTCTTTTTACTTTATGTCAACCATTCTCTGCAACTTCTGCAAACACATTTAATCTTATGTACAGTTTATCTCTCAGGAGAAAGATGAGGCTTTCTGCTCCCATAAAGATTTATAGCCTCAGAAACCCTATATAGGGCTGCTATGAGTTGGAATTGACTTGATGGCACGTAACAACAACAACATAGTTTATCTCTAGGTTTGTTTTCTTGGACCCATGAAAGCATCTTAATAAATTAATTCATTTAGGGAAGGAAATATCTTACTTATTTTCTATTATAAAGAGTACTTCCTGCAAGTACTTTCAATGAACATTATAGTACTCTAGCTCAGTGATTCTCTACAAGGTGGTACTGCCCTGAAAGGGCATTTTAAGTTGTCACAGTAATGAAGGAAAAGGCACAGGTTAAACTGACCAGATATATAAGACATCTTGGCATGCAGGGGAAATTAATGGTAGTGAAAAGCCTGCCTGTTTCTTATTATCTGCGGATAAAACCTAAATCCATTTTATAAGTAAACTTTCAGCACAGCTTTAATATGCACAGAATATTCCAGTTTTGTCACTTTGTCAAGTCAGGGTAGAATGTTCTTTGTTTTGAATTTAAACCAGTGTTTAAAGATGAGGCGTTCTGCTCCCGTAAAGATTTACAGCCTCGGAAACCCTGCACAGGGTCGCTGTGAGTCAGAACCAACTCCACGGCACACAATAACAACAACAACAACTCACATATTAGAATATTACGCTACCAATGGCAGCTACTTGGTTTGGAGTCACCAATACCACACACGCGTCTCAATTTGCATTTGTAGAAGCCGTAGGTAGTTTTGTCTTAAGATGCAGGAACCTGGCTATTTTCCTGGGTCTTCTAGTCACCTAGTTGTGCCAAATATACCCATTGAAGTACATATTATATTGTAAATTACTTTGTTTTCATTTCCACTTCCATTTAGATCATCATACTGATTTGAGTTACGATCCACTTAGTATTAATTATTTAAAAGCGTAGATCCATTTTTTTTTTTTTTTTTTAGTATATTGGTGATGCACCCATCATCAATATCAAATTCTAGATGGTTTTCATAATCCCAAACAGAAACTCTGGGTCTGTGAGTAGTCACTCCTGATCTTTCCTTTCTGGCAACCACTAATCTACTTTCTGTCTCTATGATTTTACCTATTCTGGACATTTCATTACATGTACATCATATAATACCTGGTATTTTCTGTCTGATTTATTTCATTTAGCATAATGGTTTTAAGATTCATTTATGTTGTATCGTGAATCAGTACTTCATTACTTTTTATGACTAGATAATATATTAATTTTTGGAAATTATGTGGCTAGGAGACTACATTATCTGCATTTTGTTTCAAGATAGTAAAAAAGGTGTTACAAAATATTTGTTAGTGAAAGGAAGCTTTGGATCAGAGCTATTAATCTAGTTGGAATAATGGGACACATGTATAAAAGATAATTAACAGTCATGAAAACGCAGTGTAAATTGTCAGGGGATAAATCTCCTAGATAAAGGGTGGGCAGGTAAGGATTAGGAAGGGATTGGCTCTGAGAGATTGTTGCTGTTGTTATGTGCCATGGAGTCGGTTCCGACTCTTAGCGACCCTGTACAGAGTTTCCGAGGCTGTAAATCTTCACGGGAGCAGAACGCCTCATCTTTCTCCCTTGGAACAACTGGTGACCATGAGATTATCAGTCAGATTCGTAACCACTACGCCACCATAGCAACCCTCTAAAGCGCTTCGGAGGAGTGGCTGGTGAATTTGAACCACCCACCTGGTGATTCAAACCGTCCTTGCGTTCCAGTGCTTATCCCACAGCGCTACGGATGAGTCAGGGATTGGATCTGAGGTAGGGATTAGTCAGGGATTGGATCTGAGAGATACGTCCTATTTAATGGAGTGGCCAGGTGTGGAATGAAATATAGTCATCCAAAAGTTAACAAATTGGCCACCCTTGTAGGATGCTGCAGTCCTGGTGTGGTGCTGTAGGATAAACACTGGGCTACTAACCACAAGGTCGGCGATTCAAGCCCACCAACCACTCTTTGGAAACCCTATACAGGGTCGCTTTGAGTCGGAACCGACTTGATGGCACTTAACAACAACAATAAATTGCTATCCTATCTCATGTAATCTCCATCAAGTGGTCTTTCCTTTGAGCAAGGACATCAGCGGAAGCAAAGTGATCCTTTCTGAACTGAACGGATAACTCTGCGGTTGTAAACTAAGGCAATGGGTTTTGCAGACCAGAGCTGAGAGGATCGAAGCATCGCTGACCCTTGGAATGCCCTCAAATTCCTCCTCGGCTTTTGCCCAGTCTATTTAGGCCCATCTCGGCTACCATGACCGGAATGCGCTCAGCTGTTTTGTGGGCGGGGCTTTATAAACCATGGCGGGCGAGCTTGAGAGCAGCAAATCTCTAAGCGGGCTGCTAAGCGGTCTGGCCCAGGACGCCTTCCATGGGCACCAGGGAATCACGGAGGAGTTGCTGAGGAGCCAGCTCTACCCAGAGGTGCCTCCCGAGGAGTTTCGCCCCTTCCTGGCGAAGATGAGGGGGATACTTAAGGTATGGCTTTTCCCTTCAGCCTGTGCAGTGGAGCCCTGCCCCACTCTCGTCGCCCTCTTACTCCTTCCCCTGAAGCTAAGGAGGCTTTCCTCCTCACACCCCAACTCCAGAGATCCCATATTGTCTCCCGTCAGATCCGGGAGCCTTGCCGCCCCTTCTCACTTTCCAAGTACTGACTATTTTTCTGCTTAGGGTCTCGACCTTCCATCAAGGCTGATCGACAGTCACTGGTGGAGACTGCATTTTTGCCCATGACTACTGTTTTCTGCTGTGGGCTCTGGACTCTTTAAAATTAAGCTCCCTAGCTCGCCAACTTTCCCAAGTCGTGGAAGTAGGGAGGACTAGAGTGAGCAGTGTCGGCCAGGGTAAGGGGTGGATTGCTCAGCGTTAACACCTGTCAAGTGATGCACTGTGATGAAGAGTGCTTACTGCTGGACCTTACTGTGTAGACTAACCCGTCCAATAGAAATAATGAGAAACAAACGTATATAATGTGTAATTTTCTACCAGTCACATAAAAAAAAAAAAGGTAAATTAATCTTAATAATACTTGTATTTTCATTTAACTCAGTATATCCAAAACATTGTAAAGACGTTTCCCTTGTTATTTCATTTGCTTCTTACAGCAGCCTTATATGGTGTATGCCCACTTAAGATTAAGAAATGGAGACTCAAAGAATCTAAGTAATTAGGGTGAAATCACTCTTTGATTCAAGCTGATGTTGAAATTTCATGTTATTCTTTTTCATTTGCTGTTTGTTTTGAAACTGATTGCACTTTAAAAGGAATCTCTGGGTGTGCAAATAAATGGTTGTGCACTGAACTGGAGAGGTTTATTCATACCCACCCAGGGGTGCCTTCGAAGCGAGACCTGGAGATCAGCTTCTAAAAGGTCATAACCTTGAAAATCCTATGGAGTAGTTTTGAGGTGGTTGTGAGTTAGAATCAACACGTTGGCAGCTAACAACATGCTTTAAAAAACAAACAACTCTGTACTTTACTTTTGCTGCTTTTGAATTCAGAAAAAAATATTATCTCTGAAAATAAATGGACTGTATCATGGAAATGTAAGGGGTTATATATATCTTAGATGTGACCAAAACAAAACATATAACCAAGCTCATTGGTGTGGAATCCATTCTTGGTGTGGAATCCATTCGACTCATAGTGATCCTATATGCAGAGTAGAACAGCCCCATAGGGTTTCCAAGGCTGGAATCTTTATGGAAACAGACTGCCACATTTTTCTCCCCTGTAGTGGCTAGTGGGTTTGAACAGCTGACTTTTTTTGTTTGTTTATTAAAGCAGCTGATTAACCACTGGGATGATCTTATTTTAGTGGTATTTTAAACCAAGGAACCCTAGTTGTGGAATCGTGAAGTACTTGTGTGCTAACTCAAAGGTTGGTGATTTAACTAAAAGACGTGCCATGGAAGAAAAAAACCAGAGCCTATGTCCTGGTGTGGCGTTGTGAGTTAATGCGCCAGATTGCAAAGCCATATGAACTGCAAGGTAGGTTGTTCAAGCTCACCAGCTGCTCCTTGGAAACCTTATACAGGGTCGCTATGGATCGGAATCGGCTTGACAGCACTTAACAACAACTTCTTTCAAGATTGTTAAGTATTGTGGAGGTGGCTCTGACTCATAGTGACCCTACATAGGGTTTCTTAACAGTGGGTGATGAGTCTGCACTGCCGAACCTGCAGTTCAGACCAACCTTGTGGTCCAGTGCCTATTCTACTGTACCACACCAGAATACCTCTTTGAAGCTTATAGTTTGGAATCTACTATGGGACAGTTGTACTTTCTCACTTGAGGGCTCTATGAGTCAAAATTGACTAGATAGTACATAACAATAACAACTTCTTAAATCACTAGTGAATGTCCTGTTAATATCAATCTTACTCTTGGTGTGGTGAGGGAATTTGCTGTTTTATCTGGGAGTTTAAGGTATTTGAGGTATATGGGCATGAGGATAAGTGATTTCAGGTCAAGAAGAAAGAACCGTTTTGTAGGCAGTATCTTTGGTTCTTTCAACATTGTGGGCCACTTGTCTCTCTTGTTCTTGCTGTTAAGTGCCATTGAGTTGGTTCTAACTCACAGGGTTTCTGAGGAGAGGCTAGTGAGTTTGAATTCCTGACCTTGCAATCTTGTGCTTTATTGTAATAGCGCCACACCAGGACTCCAGGTGCCTTTCTGTTGTTGTTAAATGCTGTCGAGTCGGTTCTGACCCATAGCGACCCTGTGTAGGGTTTCCAAGGAGTGGCTGGTGAGCTTGAACCACCAACCTTGCAGTTCAAACCGGCTTTGCTGTCCAGTGCATTAACCCACAGTGCCACACCAGGACTAGGTGGACCAAATTTTTCTTGTTTTATTTTTCTATTATTTTCTGTTAAGTGTTCTGGTGTGGCATTGTAAGATAGGCACTGGATTGCAAAGTTGGTTTGAATCACTAGGTTGGCGGTTCGAATTTACCAGCCATTCCTCGGAAACCCTGTATAGAGTTCCTATGAGTTGGAACTGACTTGACAGCACTTAACAACAACAACAACAAAAACATTTACTATTAAATACATTGTCAAGAAATAGCCAGGTATATCCAGGTCATCCATGATTTATCTAAAGAGCCTCCTTTGCTCTCTCTTACATTTTTTCACTCAGCTTTATTTTTGTTTCTGACACTCAGCGCTACCTGAAATTATGTACTTAATGAGCTTATTTATTTGTTGACTCCCCTATTAGAATGTAAGCAGTAAGAGGGCAGACGCATTATTATATTTTATTCTTTATCTCTAATACCTAATGCTGTTTCCGATATGTGGTTGATGTTAGTTGCCACTGTGTTGCCTCCAGTTCATGGAGACCTTAGGAGCCAACAGAATAAAACATTGCCTGGCCCTGTGCCATCTTAGTGATCTTTGAAAAGTTTGAGTCCATTATTGCACCCACTGTGTCTAGCTCATGGAGGGTTTTTCTTGTTTAGCTGACCCCTTTACCAAACACAATGTCTATGACAATTAATGTTATGTGTCAGCTTGCCTAATCTAAATTCTCAGTGGTTTGACAGACCTTGCACTGATTGCTCCTCCATATGTAATATATTGTAATCATGCCCATGATGTGATCAACCAATCAATTGAAAGAGGAGTTTCCCTGGGAGTGTGGCCTGCCTCCAGTATGTAAATGGATGTTCCAGCAAGGCTGTTTGGACCCAGCACTCTTCTTATTGCCTGACCTCTAGAACATGTTGTTATTGTTCTTAAGTGCTGTTGAGTTGGTTCCCACCCGTAGCGGCCTTGTATAGGTTTCAGAGGAGTGGCTGGTGAGCTTGAACCACTGACTTTGCAGTTCAAACTGACTTTGCAATCCAGTGCATTAGCCCACAGTGCCTCACCAGGACTCTTGGAACATAAGCCTGTCGAAGTCTTCAGTCTGCTGCCTGATCCATGGATTTGAGACTAGACCAGCACCCGGCGTTGCCTGCACCATTGCTTTGAAGTAAATCTCTCTGTAACTACAGTCCTTGTATGAATGCTTCACTTTTTTTTTAGTTGTCTAAAGAACTCAGACTAAGACTTTATTTTTCTAATGATTGGTCTTTCCTGGTGACTTTTCCAAAGTAAGTGATCTGAAATTTCACTATCCTAGCTTCTAAGGAGCATTCTAGTTTTTTTTTCTTCTAAGACTGATTTGTTTCTTCTTCTGGTAGTCCGTGGTATATTTCATATTCTTTGTCAACATCATACTTTGAAGGCATCAATTCTTTTTTCTCATTTTCTAGTTTCACAAGTATATGATGTGATTATTAAGACCGTGGCTAGGATCCGTTTCACATTAGTTAATCAAAGTGGCTTTGCTTTTTAAAACTTTAAAGACGTCTTTTGTTCTGGATTTTCCAAGTATGATACATTATTTGATTTCTTTCTTTTTTTAACTTTGTGTTGTGAATTGAGTGAAGGTTTACAGAACAGATTACCAGTCTCACATTCAACAAGTCATACACTTCATGTCATCATAATGATTGCAATCCCTTCCATGTACCGTCAGTTAACAGTATTTACTTCTCCTCATTCACTTTAACTTTTGCACTCCTTCCTGTGTCTTCCACTAACTTCATCTTTCTTGTGCCCACCTCCCTCTTGTTGTATATTGTCTTCCCCAGCTCTGGTAGCATAGCAGTTATGAATTGGGCTGCTAATCTCAGGGTCAGCAGTTCGAAACTGCCAGCTGTTCCAAGGGAGAAAGATGAGGCTTTCTGCTCTTGTAAAGATTTACAGCCTTGGGAACCCTGTGCAGGGTCGCTATGAGTCGGAACCGACTCCACGGCACATAACAACAGCAGCAATCACCCAAGTAAACATGTGTCTACCTTTTACCGGATGAATAATTTTCCCTTCTCTCCCTACCAGGTAACCATCATAGAATGTTTCTTTTACCAACAAAACCTTTTCTTAGTTTTTTACAACATGGGTCTCATACAATATTTGACCTTTTGTGATTGACTGATATCACACTGGAGTCCTGGTGTGGCGCTGTGGGTTAATGCACTGAACTGGAAAATCTTTTGGTGGTTCAAGCTCACCAGTCGCTCCTCGGAAACCCTGTACAAGTTCACGAACTGACTCCATGGCATTTAAACAACAACAACAGTATTACTCAGAGTCCTGGTGTGGTGCTGTGGGTTAATGCACTGGACTGCAGAGTTGATTTAAACTGCAAGATCAGCAGTTCAAGTTCATCATCCACTCCTTGGAAACCTCATATAGGGTTGCTATGGGTCGGAACCGACTCAATGGCACTTAACAACAACAGCAACAAAATCACTCAGCATAATGTCCTTTAGTTTTATCCATGTTATGAGGTGTTTCACAGATTGTCATTATTTTTCAATGTTGTTATTAATATTCAGTGTAATTATTGATTATTGATTGCTGTCATTTCGCTATGTGTTTTTTTTGTGGTGTTCTAGTATCTTTGTTCCACATTAATTTCTGCTCTGT